AAAAAAAAAAAAAAAAAAAAAAAAAAAAAAAAAAAAAAAAAAAAAAGAAGAAAGAAAAACAAAATGCAGCAGATGGGTGATGAGAAAAGTATGAGTATTGGGGTATTATTAGCATATAGTTTCTCATTTATAAAGATGTCCCTAAAATGATCTAATCAAAAGAACATAACATACATCCCTTTTCCGTACTAAATTCCCTGTTTGAAAGAATATTACAAACCACTCTCTCCAATTCCTGCGTCATTCCTTCTCCCTTGGGATCAATGCCAATAATGATGTGCTTCCGGCCCTGCTACTAAAGTTCTTGTTGTTTTATTCATTTCATTTTAAAGTTTGATGCACGGATTAGCCCATTTTCATTCTTAATCTCTTGAAGAATGTTTAATACTTATTTCAACTTGGTGCCTAAACTCCTTTAATGTAAGACCCTATAAACACAAATATAAAAAATTTGGGTATGCAATATAGCAGATTAGTACTGTTTTAATAATGCTCATATTAGTAAGAAAGAGGGCAATGATATGAAGCATTTGTGTGTGTGAGAGAGAGAGAGAGAGAAGTGGATCACATAGCTTTAAAGAAGAAAACAGAGACCAGTCAAGCATTTATATGCTTTTATTATAACTATTACTATTTTATTTTTCATTTTGAAGGCAGGGAAAGAATCCTGCTTTCTGAGCAATGTTTGTTTCTTTATTCCAAATCTCTCTTTTTTCACACACACACACACACACACATATATATATATATAAAATATTCCAAACCTCTTTATCTGCTTTTAGTTTCCATTTGAGCGAGAGAGATTGGGGTTTTATGAGTGTTTTTTGTGTGGGTAAATTATTCGATTGGGTATCTAATTCCTTATTGTAAGTAATGCCTTTACCTGTGAAAAAAGTGAAAGGCATAAAATGATTTTCTTGGGATTTTGTCCTTCTACTTCTCGTAAGTACTTCTTTCTAATCAACTTAGCACTTTAATTACATTCTTAATTAGGCCTAAACTCTTTTAGAACCTATAACAAAAACCTATTCCAGTTAAATTTAGAAGACTGGATTGGGTAACTAGGTAAGCCTAGCATATTAAGCAACACTATTGCAATATAATTTCAAACTCCTAATGTCCAGAGATCAGTGTTCCCTACTTTGAGTCATCCTAAACTCCTAATGCTTTTAACCAAGTGAATAAAAACAACCCTCTATCACTCATTTATTTTCTGCATAAAAAAATTTGACAATATACATCGTGGTAATAGTAAATACACACCTCTATATCGAGAACGAGAAATTATTCTGTGCGACTGGCAATTGTAGGATTTGGACGTCTTTACAAATATTACAGAGGCTTCACTCCGAGCGCAGACTGTCAAAATATAAAATTGAAGAGGCTGAGAAGGATCAAAAGTTAGCAAAGGAGAAAAGAGATCAATTGTTTTCGAGCAGTTTAGTTCCTGAGGAGATTTGGGAAGGATACAAAACTGACCATATTAAGAAGGCGGAGGGCGGCTGGACGGGTGAACTTCCTCGCGAAAAGAAAACATCTGGATGGTTTTCCATTTCTGCTACACCATTCTCTTCGATACTCGGTTTCGTAATATATATTATCAATACCCTGCAGAAGATAAATGTTCTTAATTATGATCCAGGGAAAAGGTCAAATGAAAATACGAACGGATCATTGGCTATTTTACTATATATTGGTTGCTGACTGAATGAATACTAAATCAGATTCAACTCTCGATTGTGCTAAGGAGTATAGTGAATAATCCCATCCTTATTAGTGTGTTACAGAGGAAGGCAACGAAAGGGGGTGAATAAGAGTCAGATAAATACAAGTTAATGATTTTTATTTACTTAAAACCTTGAGCTCTTTCAATTATTTATAGAACATGAGGAAAATGCTTATAAACAGTATTTGAGGCAGTATTTGGAAGTGCTACTTCACTCGGGGTGATGAAAATATATGTAGTCACAAAACTTGTATGTTAAGTACCTTTATAGATTGTATTAGATCAAGTGTAGCGTCTGAAAATTTGTATGTTACAGGATGCCAATTACGACGTTCGTGGTCTTTGGAGTATGAGAGATCCCATGCTGAATATGAAAGTGATCTTCGTGTGAGCTCTTCTTCAAGCCCTTCTTGCTGAATCACGAAAACATAAATTATTAATAACCTGAACAACAAATTTAATTAGCTCTAGAAAATAACAAAAAAACAACAAATTTAAATATAGACATGTAATGGCTAGTATGTGAACCACGCAAAATTTTGACTGCATAAGCAATAGTTCTTCAGGAAAGTTTCAAATGTATTGCATTTTCCACTATTTGCTAAGAACTCGTACTTTGTCTCACAATTTCAAAGTTCGGATCATAAGATTCATAACGCGTGAATGACTAACTATAAGCAAGTTTTTGGAAAAAGAGTGCATGCAGTGGTAAAACAAAGGATCACAGCAAGCTTAGAACGTTCAATGTTATATTCCTTTAGATAATCAGCCAAGTTTTTTGAAATAGAAATAGCTTTGATATAATATTGGAATGAGTAAACGTCTTACGGCCAATAAAGTCTGAACATAATGTTCATCAGGAATACAGTTGTGTTCCTTGGATACATCCTTGGGCTGCATAACAACAGTTGTAAGACATAAGTACACCATATTTGGTCATAAACTCTAGATAAACAGGTATAGCAATTAAATTAATATTACTTCCTTCGTATTAAATCTAATTTATTTATAATACATGCCGTAATTATATTGTTAATATGAGACCCAATAGCATTTTGAGAAATGATAACAAGAAACTGCTTAAGATTGAGAATTCTCACAAATGGACGATCACGCCAAAACTCTGGTAGTGACTTCCTCTGCATAACCATCCAACATACATCATGAGTTGAATAGTTAGTACTAGTCCTAAATTGGTAATCAAAAGGGTATTGAAATATTTATAATTAAATGAAAAAAAGTGACCCAAGAAGAAAACATGGCAGACATATAAAAAGATGATACAAATTCTACAAAATGGCTTGCCTTGCAATGCTGTTGAAACATAGGAAAGACTGTAATGTCCTTCACTACAACCTTCGCGTGCTTTCTTGTCAATACAACCCACTACAAGAGGATAATGGAGGTCATGAGTAGTCTGCAGAAAATTACATTGAAAAGAATATATGATTTGATTGGGTTATCAGATATTATGATACCTGAGATCCTTTCCTCCAGTTTTGAACAGGAATTACAGGATCCATTTTAGGATTGTAACGCCCTTCTTTTGTATCAGCAAAACTGTTTCAATCACTAGCTTGTTAACATATTAACCACCAAAAGGCTATACAACTTTGGTAACACTTTAAATTCCAGACGCTGAAATATATTAAGACGTGGATGATTCACTTTCAACTTCGAAAGAGAGCTATGTATGCATAAAAATTAGTGTGTTTACCTGTCCACAAAACTAGTTGAAGTTGACATGACATAGTCATATGTGTAGCTGAAGTTGTACAATGGTATGCAGCTGAGAAAAGATCAATTAACTGAAACATTGTAAGGCTTGACTAATCCCCATTAAAACAACCTTCAAGAAGTCCTCCACTCAATTCAGCAAACAAATATCTTGTACCAACAAAAATTAGTAAATGCCCTTCAAAACTTTGGTGAATTGAAGGACAAAAGGGCCTCAACAGAGGATATAAAGGCTTTTCACATCAAGTCTCACCTGTCAGAAAGAAAAATAAATCGTTGATTTGAAGTATCGGTAAGTGCATGTCTAAGCAAGATGCGTTCTGCCTCAATCATGCTTGCCTCACCCCAGTCTACCTGGTATAGAACAACAACATGAGCATGGAGATAACCTTTGCAGTGAAGCAACACAAACGACAATGAAATTTCCTTGTCCTCCTTGATCTAATAAATTTATATAGACTTGAAAGGGAAGGCCAAAGAAGCTCATTAACCCTACAAACATTTTTATTTGTGCACACAAATACAAAGCGCTGTAGGCGTATCAGATTTTCTGAGCTGCAGTTTCTAAGCAAATGATTAACTACTACTTTTTATGATGAAATTCCTTTGATGCTCTTGCAGCAATCTTTGGTAAGCAGCAAAAGGCACTAACAAGTAACAACTACATATACTCGAGGAATTATATATATATAATTAGCCGCTAAATTAGAACTCAGTATCCCCAATTACTTCGCCATAGTATCAATTTGCGGACAAGAATCGTTACCTGTATACTATCATTAACTTGACGATTTAAAAAATAGATCGATCTTGTCGTCGCCTTGTTAAATAAAAATCCAGGCCTCGAGTGAACATAGATCGAAAACTTATTCTCCCCCTCCTGCAAAAAAAAAAAAAAAAAAAAAAAAAAAAAAAAAAAAAAAAAAAAAAA